ACACACACACACACACACACACACACACACACACACACACACACACACACAGAGATGGGCGCACGCACAACAAACAATAATAATAAGGAACAAAATTCACGAATGGAATCCTTGAAGCAGAAAAATAGCTCGGCTTAACTTGCTGGCGATTAACCGGTTAAGATGTTCAACAAAATTGCACTAGTTAAATAGGTTGAAACGTTTAATTGATAGCTGCTGGGCCAGAGGGCTGCTGTCGCATCTGCAGCGCTTTCAAACTGTAATTTAATATGGGAACCTACTGCTACGCTGGACTCGACACTCGACACTCGACACAGTGCTGCGCTGCCGTTTATCGCGAGTCGTGGAGGGTTCTGCAAGTACGAGCAAGTATCAAAACGCCAGCAGCATCAAATGTTTGTCGTCGGCCTTCGCAATGCAAAGCGCTGTCGCTGTCGCTGTCGCTGTTGACGCTGCCGTTGCTGTTGCTGTTGCTGTTGCTGTTGTCGTTGCCTTTGCCTTTGCTGTTGACGACGCGTCGTAGGCAACGCCATTTGAGTTCGCTGTCGGCGGCCATCGGCGTTCGGCAGTCGGCAGTCGGCAATCGGGTGGCATTCGGCTCGCCGTTTTGCGCATTCGTTTTTTCGCTTACATTGCAGTTGCAGCGAATGTCTCAAGCAGCCCGACCCAGTGTGCCAGTCTTAGCGCGCGCTCTCTCTCCTCTCTCTCTCACTCTGCCTGCTTCGCTCACTGTCTCTCACCCACACTCACACTCACACTCACTCTCGCATTTCTTTCACTCTCTGTGTGTCAAGCAGACGCTGTCTCTCCGTCTTTCGCTCTCTTCTGCCGCTGTGCTTCGTTATTAACGTCGCTTTTCTTTTAATTGGCATTAACGATTTCAAGCCAAAAGCAAGGTGCATAAGGCGAAAACGTATGCAACAACTACAAATATATACAACTGCATGCACATGTGTGTGTGTGTGTGTGTGTGTGTGCCTCATGACAAGCGCAAATAAACAATATAATTATTGTTTATATGCCCAACTATTTAGCTGATGTGCTTTCGTGCTCAACTAGCATGGCTGGCAAATAGCCAGCCGCAGCATATTGCTGACATCATCATCGCCATCGCCATCATCATCATCATCATCATCATCGACATACGCCCCACAAAACTTGCCGCAAAATGCGAGCAGCGAAAGCCTTGAACTGAAAAAAAAACACACTCACATACTCACACACACACAAGCAATAAACTGCATAATGCATTGATCAAGCACACTTGGCTATGATCTACTAACTGAGCTAATCGATCGAATATGCTAACTGCCCTTTATATAAGCTCCGCTGCTTGCTACTCACATACAGTTAATTGTGTGCCAATTTACAGGTAATTGGATAGTTGCTTCTGCTTCTTCAGCCTAGTTACTGTTGCTGCTGTTGTTGTTGTTGTTGTTGTGGCTGTTGTTGCTGTTGCTGCTGCTGCTGCTGCTGTTGCTGTTGTGGCCGGAACTAATGACACAATAAGTCAGCATATATTTTCTATATCGTATGCAATTAGCTTACGTAGTTAGTTGAATTATTCATTTATCCTATACATAGTAGTAGTTGCTAATTTTCTTAAGGTAATCAACTGAGAGCAGGCAGCACGTTAATATCGTGCGCTACATAATAAAGAATCTAATGCACACACACACACCCACACACACACACAAACACACATAAATAATTATATATATTAGATGTGAACAATTCGTGACACAGTCCATTTATTATGGCATAGCCATGGACAATATGCATTACAGGAACTATTATACACTTTGCTTAACGGAGAACATAAACAAAAAGGACACTCGACAAAAGTTAATATATATATATATAAATATATGTATAGAGTATGCACATATATATATATATTTATATATCTATATAGATGTGGTAGGCACTTGAAATTGTTGGCTTCTTATGCGTATCATAAGGCATTACCATTGGCCAAAGACGCGTTGCCAAAACCGGAACAAGCTAAACCAGGGCACGTTTTCGATGCGTGAAGTGAGACTTGTCGGGGACTTGCAATGTGTGTGACTGTGGCTGCTGGACTTGATTGTGCGACTGTTGTGGGCACATCGGCTCGCTGCTGCTGCTGCCCGGACTATGCACATTGTCTCATAATGGATGCCTGATTACGGCCAGAGAACGAGCGACCTAGCACATGGTTAAAACTCTAACGAGCCACGACGGAGCGTAATAGCGAAACATCAGCAAAAACTCTCACTCTCTGTGCTTGCTCTTATTTATTCTGTTGCTGTTGTTGTTGTTATTCTTCTTCATTTCGTTTTCAGCTGGGAGAGCGCACGGCTCTCAGCACGTCTGCGTGGGAATGTAGGAATTCGCCGAAGGACCCAGCAGGAACTGTCCATGACACCCAGCCAGCCAGCCCGCCCACGCACAGCTCTGTTTTGCATTTTAAACAGTCCATTTCCATGGCCAGATTCGAGTTTTGATACACTGATGTTTCGATTGAGTTACGCATATTTTATATAATATTTAAATACTAACACAAATTGGATAAATCAACTTCCTACTGCATGTACATATATAGATAGTTCCTGGATAGTTTAGTGGGACATGCAAGACTTTGCTGTTCGAATTTGAATACTTTGCGCACAGCATCAGCAAAGCTTTTATCGAATGCCGATAGGCAGTGCAGTTATCGAATACTTATCGGTGTTCAGCCAATATCGACATTTTAATCGGAAAACTAATATCGTAACTTAACCTTACTTGAATCCCAATTACATAGAATTTTCTGCTTATTTTCTTGAATATATTCAACTTCCATGATAGCTCGTACTTTTCGTTTTGATATGGGAAAATTCCATGGACGTAACGTCATACGCCCACGCAAAACTTAAAGAGCACAAGCGTAGGCATTGCGCAGGTCCTTACAAGAAAAGCAAATGAAATAAAGTAAATGATAAAGACAAATGAAAAATACTGGAAAATGTTTAGCAAATATTAAAAAATTAAAATTAAAAAAATTTTAAATTTTTAGTTTTTAAAATTAAAAATACTTCTATTAAAAATCTAAGCTTGTAAGCTTCTTAAGAACCAATATTTAGTCTTAGCAGCTAAATAACAAGAATATATATTAATATTTATAATAACAATATTAATATTTTATATATTCAAATGTATTAAGATTGCATAATATACAAATAAAAAAATAATTAAGAAAATATGATACTTATCTAATATTTAAAATATTATATTATATTTATACAAAAAATGTATTAAGATTGCATAATAAACAAATAAAAATATAATAAAGAAAATATGATACTTATCTAATATTTAAAATATTATATTATATTTATACCCCTTGTAATTAAAAAATGTTATAAAATTAAAAAAAAAAATAAATTAAAAATAGTAACTATAAATATTAAGATTACAAATACCATATTTATTATTCAGTCATTCAACCTTTTTTTCATAGACTTCTTTAGCTCTTTTACACTCATCCAAGAAAGTGAAGAGAATATATTGGGTTTGTAATATGTCCATTTTGCTGTCCGCCTCTCTCCGCCTGTCCATACGAAAGCAAATCATTTAGCCGCTATTGAAGCTAGAGACCTAAAATTAGACACCCTAGTATTGAAAGATTTTCCCGATTCGCCCACTAAGGGCGTAGCAAGTCGGAAAATTCCTTTTCCGGTATCTCAGAAGCCATAGTTGTTGAGCTGCTTGAGAGCAGAAACTTTTAATGTATATATATATATAAGAGATATATAGTCACGGCCATTGGGGGCGTGGCAAGTCGACTAAAATTCTGTTATATACAATTTGAAGGCGTAGCGGAAGCCTTTGGGTCGTGAATGAGTGTGCTGCAGCCGGTAATGCCCGACAGAAATGTTGTTATTATATATAAGTAGAGAAGCATTGAAATAGAATTAGAGAAAGCCCAGTTTTTGTAATAAATAGATATATTTAATAATATCAACTTCGTTTTATGCTTTATTTTTTTTTTTTTTATTGAGCACTCGACCTGTCCCAAATGTGCGATAAGTTTTGGTTAAATTATTTTACAAATTGACACATTCGTCGATTTACATACATCATATGTTCTTGTTTCTAAATTTTTTGGAATTTCGCATGTTTTTTCATTTTTGTTTTTGTTTTTTTCTTTTGTTTTGTTTGTTTTTCTTCAATAAAATATATATATGTATATAGATATATATACATATGTATGCATACATATATATACAAACGGAAAACACCTTTGACAGATCTCGTTGCGATGACAGTTTTCTTCAGTTTTTCATAATACATACATACAATACATACATATTTTTGTTTGAAATTTTTGGTTTTGAATTTTCAGTGCAGCCTCAACGCAACGGATTATTTTTCTTGGATTTTGTTTTTTTTTTTTACAATTTTATTTTGCCATCAACACAAACATAAACTATAAATCTTCATTTTGTTTTCTTTGTTTTTGGTTTTGTTTTATTTACGCATACGTAAGATTTAAACAATTTAATTACTAAGACTAACAATCAAAGCTGTGCAAATCGAAAAATTTATTTATTTTTGGTTTTATGTTGGTTTTGTTTTTTGTTTTTTTCGTATTCCTTTAATTTGTTTTTATTTATTTAATAATTTGTATCTTCATTCAATATATATAATAATATATATATATTTAGTTTGTTTTTTGTTTTTGCTTTTTCTTTTGTGTGTACTTTTGATTTTCGAAACGCCAATCAATTCCACATTCGCTGATTTTGATAAAATAGCGATTGCCAGTGTTGAAAAATTCCATCTGCTTGAGATACGGAAGATTAAAACCAGTTTCTATAGATTTTCTTTTCTTCTGCTGTTTGGGTTTAGTAATTTGTTTTCTCTTTTTTTTTGTATTTTCTTCATTTTGGCTTTTGTTTTCATAGTTTTCATTTCGTTTGCTCATTGTATCAGTGTCGCCATATTATTATATTTATTTCTGTATTTAGAATACGAAAATATTTTGTTTGTTTTTAGTGCCAGCAGAATTAACATAAATGTTAACAGTAAAATATATCTATAAACATTCGAAAGTTTTGTTTTTTTCTCTTTAAAATCAGTTGTTTAATTTTTTTTCCCTTTTTTGTTTTTTTTTTCCTCTCTTCTTTTGTTTTTTGTTTATTTTGATTTTGTTTGTTGTTTCAAAAAGGCAATCTCTCTCTTGTTAAAAATATTACATTTGTATTGGCAACACTGACTGTCATAAGTATATGTACACACGTTTGTACTAGTTCTCTCTCTGTTGTCCAGTTGTTTGGCTTTGTTGTGGATGAGTTCTATAGATGATATTGCACGCTGAATTGGTTGGCCCACATTCACATGAGATTAACCAAAAACATTGAAAATAAATGTATTTACGCGCTATATGCGAAGGCGAGTGGAATCAAGAATAAATATACACTATATCATAGAATCGAATGTCAACTTAGTGAAATGGCGAATGATGGGCCCTTGAACGGAAAGCATAGTTCATAGTAGATACTATATATTTCTGTATCTACAAAACGATTTTTTTTTAAATTTTTAATTAATTTTTTTTTTTTTTTTTTTGTTGATTAAAACATAACCAATTGTGAATTATATTACAGTTATATATGTTATATTTTATTTTATGCCCAGACGATTTTTAACGATTGTAGCCACATTTATAACGTGATAATACTTGCTCGAGTATAACTAACATTCACAATTCTTTGCAACTGTGTTGCAAGTTTTGCTTGTTTTTTTGTTTTAATTTTTTTTTTTATATATATCTTATTTTGTATATTTTATACAGATTTCGCCCAGCTCTCATGTCTTCAGTTTAACCAGTGTTGAAAAATACAACAATACAACAAAGAGAAACAAAATACATTGTGAATCTTTGAAAGTTCACAGTGAGTTAACCTTTTTTTAAATGGGTTTACTACATTTCAGTTTTCAGTTTCGGCGTTTTTTTTTTCTTTCTTTTCTTGTAATTTTTTGATTCTAGCGAATATTCAGAGTTGCATGGGTTAGAGTGAAATAGCAGCATGAGAAATCAAAAGAAACAAATACCAAATATACAGTACGCTAATTGTTTTTAATATTTATACATTTATTACAAAATAATATATATAAATAAATAATAATAATAGTATTGAATTTTATTAAAGAATACACATTTCTTCAATTTAAGCGCATTTTACATATTTGCATATTTGATCTCTGCTTTATTCACACATTAATTGCTTTCTATCTCTTTCTCTCGTCTCGTTTCAAGTATCTATCTCCTGCTTTGTCTGACCTCTTTTGTACACATAAACACAAAACGAGACAAAAAATCGTCAGAAATGATAAATAATATCTACGCGTCCGCTCAATTTGTATTTACACTCGAAAAGAAAAGTAGGCCAAAGTCAAGATAAATGTATACTTAGGTACAGTTAAGTGCATATATGTGGTACAAGTTGAAAACATATACATATATATACACACACATATACATATATAATAATAATAATACATATAAATACATACGTATATATAGTACTGGTACTGGTACTATATAGTGTACTGGTACTGAAAGGACCTGACTACCCATACATCCATACATACATACATACATAACTTCTATCTTTGTTTCGTTTTGTCTTCATTTAATTTATAGGCAAGTAGAATCACGGCATAAATAGCTGACTGTTCAAATACAAATGAAATGTTATCAAAATCGACGTCTGTAACAGGCCTGAGTCTTTACTATTCATCAATTAAATTACACAGCCAGTTCGGCAGATAATTTATACACATATATATACATATACATATATACGCACATGTCTATATATATATATACTTATACATATGCCTTTACCAAAGCATAACACCTAACCCGAATATATAACTAAAGAGTCTGAGCACATCAGCTTCTCTTGCCCTATACATACAACATCGTCATCGTCGTCATCATCATCACCATCATCATCATCATTATCATTAGCATTAGCATTATCATATATCATTACCATAATCATTATCATTATCAGCTTATTTATCATTATCTCATTCTCATAGTAACAAAATGGTATTAATAATTATGTAGTATGCTTTCTTATGTTTGTCTTTTGTTTTCTTTTTATATGGAATGCATCTTAATGTCTCACTGAGTTATGTAACGTTTCATGTTTCATGTTTTTGTTTCTTTAGTTAGTATTATTTTTGTTTTTGTGTTTTTTTTTTCAATTTATGTGATAGTCGATAGCGTTGTCAGTTGCATAGTCTTTGTTGACGGCGACGCCATCGGCGATGGCGTTGGCACAAACAGGCTGGACGAGGCAGTTTCCGTGGTTAGACTACGCTCCTCGTACACCCCGGCGCGTTCCTGGTTACAAATATGTACATAGAGAAAATATTATATTTAAATATATATACATATATATATATCGAGTTACTATAACTTATGCGTAGGCTAAGGGAATTCGTGAAAAATCAAGCTTGCTAGTCATATTTGCTTTTTTTTTTTTTTTAATATATCATAATATTCATTGTAATAGCGTTAAAGAGCTTTAAAGCCTCTTTCAACTAATTTTTGTTACAATAGCCTAGCTCAAGGTTTATTTTTACTGGAGATTGGTATTCAAGCTGATATACTTTGACTTCCAAGTCTACAGATCAGCAGCTCATAAGGTCTTTAAAAACAGGCTCGAAATCACGAGTATCATATATGTATGACTTTTATTATTGCACACAAAACTGAAGTTGAAGAGAAGCGTATAAAACCTGTAACGTCATTGTACTTGGCTCGATTGTATATACAGTACAGTAGAATCCGGTTATAATGACTCCGCTTACAGCGTCTGTACGGTTATTGTGACGAAAATTCTGATTCCCAGACAAACTTATATGAGCAAAATTATACGGTTATAGCATCCTCCGTTTATAACGATAGTTCCCTGAGCGTCGCTATAATACGGATATACGGATACGGCGAGATGAACCTTTAACGGCTCTCCTAGACAGCCGTCAATTTGGGGGCAGCGTTTTCTCACGTCTGTTTCCTTTTTCTTTCGATTTTAAAAGAATCCTACGTTGTTCTAGGCAACTACCTATTCTACCTAATTGTTAATCCGGCACCGTATATATTCCAAAACTCCAGGAAAAACATTTTTAAAATATAAAATGAAATTTCAGTTTAGCAAAAGCTGATATTATCTAAGACATGACACTAGCTAGCCTTGACTGAAATAGTAAGAGCAAGTGAGAGAGAGAGCGAGAAAGCGAAGGAAACACTCAAGATTGTATTGCCTTGGCTATGAATTTCATCCTAACATACAATATTCTTACAAACTCTAGCACACATATTCACAATAATATTCATATTCATATTGATATTCATATAGAGCTCACATGCGATTTATCATATTTGAATCGTCTCCAGATATTCGTCTTTGGCTCCATAGGGGTGCCATCCACGTTGTAGTTGGGATTGGAGAATGTCAGTACAGAGCGGCTAGAGCCGCGTGAATTGCGCTTCGCCTTTTTGCGATTCGTATTGAAAGCGAGCACTGAAAGCAAGTAAATTGCGTTGAATCCAAAGGAAACTCTTTGGCACTCAGGCGGACTTACTGAATATCACGAGCATTATAATGATAACCATGACAATGACCACGCCCAGGGCGATGATCACAAAGAACTCGCGCTGGCTGTTTTCCTTGGCGTTGAGATCATCGTCAGTCTCGTTGTGATTATTCTGGCTGTCAGTCGAGCCGCCGTCATCGGTCAGTTCGTCCGAGTAGTCCAGCGGTTGTTCGCTCTCGAGGCGGGGCGGCACGAACTCCTTGGGCGTGGTCGAGCAAACGCGGCCGTCGCTCTCCGGTCGATCGGGACAGGCGCACACGTAATCAACGACCCGGTAGAAGCACAGATGCGAACAGCCGCCATTCTCTTGGGCGCACTGATTCCAGGTCTTCGCCTGTCGCTGCAGCGAGACGGCGCGTATATCCAGCGCTCCACTGAGAGCGTCCCGCACCTCAAACGGATAGTTGTAGCCGACGCGAGGCTCACGCTGCGATCGATACACGGACTTGTTGTACCAATCGGTCCAGTATATGTTGTTCTCGAACTGTGAGAGTGAACATTAAGTGAACATTAACTGGGCTAAGCTGAATTGAGTCCTTAACCTACCATTGTCAGGCCGAATGGATGCGGTGCGTAGGCCACAATTGTCTGGCGGCGCTTGCCATTGAAATCAACCTGGCCGATATTATCCTCAAGTGCATCGGCCCACAGCAGACGTCGGTTGCTGCAAAAGCAATTCATCAAGTATTGATCAAGTCACAAAGTAATCTCTGTCTGATCCCTACCTAAAGTCAATGGTTAGACCCGTCGGAAAGCCAATGCCCGATGTCACAATGGCCGTGCGATTGGAGCCATCCAAGAGACTTCGCTCGATCTTCGACGGTGAGTTCCAGTCCGACCAGAACAGAAAGCTGCAGCGACAGAAATCAATTAAACTAATTTTGAAGCTATCTTAGAGAATTTAGACACTTACGCCTTGGAGGGATGCACGATAAGAGAGCGTGGATCGCCCAGATCTTCCGAGATGAGCTTCTTGCGGCTGCTGCCATCGAGGCGCGACACCTCAATCAGTTTCCGATCCGTGTCCGACCAGTAGAGATTGTCGGCTATCCAGTCAACCGCAATCCCATTGGGCGTCAACAGATCCGTGCTGACCACCACCTTGCTCTCGGTGAGGTTCAACAGATTGACTCGGCGTATGACGTCCATATTGACGTCCGCGAAGAAGAGCCAATTGCTGCGATAGTGATAGTCCAGCACAACGGCGCCATGGACCCCATTGATGGGCAGCACCACGTCCATGTAGTCGCCGCTGTTCAGCGAAATCATGCCAATGCCCGAGCGCAGCGCGATCAGCAGATAATCCTAAACGAAGAAGGCGAAACAAATGGAGTCGAGTGTGGATAATGAGTGTGGGCTGGACTTACGTCTGGTAGATTTTGACATTCAGTGGTGCTATTCTCCCGCAGCTTGAGTCCGGTGGGGCACTGGCACGAATAGCCCGCCGGATTGCGCAGGCACAGATGGGAGCAGCCGCCATTGTTGCGTCCGCAAACATTCTCCGCCAGCTGCGGCTGCCTGATGATCACTTTAATGTCCATCAGGCCATCAATGTTGGTCATGACATCGCGCTTGTTGCTGGTCTGGCGCCGATCCGCCATGTGCAGGGCCTTCGACTTCCAGTCCGTCCAGTAGATGTGGTCATCGCTGAGCGCCAGAGCATAGGGATGATGTAGGGCCGACATGATCAGCTTGCGCTGATTACCCGTGTAGTCGCATGAATCGATGGTCTTTCGCAGAGCGTCCACCCAATAGATGCGCTTGCTCTTCAGGTCCAGCGAGAGTCCGTTCGGCCAGCCGAGATTGGCTGTCACAATGCGGGAGCGCTCGTTGCCGTCCAGGTGCGAGCGTTCGATCTTACGGTAGTGACCCCAGTCGGTCCAGAACAGTAGACCCGCCTCGTAGTCGAGGGCCAGGCCGCGCGGCGACTCCAGATCCTTGTAGGCAATCACATGCCGATTATTGCCGTCGAGCGTGGCCACTTCTATGGTATGACGACCTGCATCGGCCCAATAGATCATGCGGCCGATCGAGTCGACTACCAGTCCATCTGGATTCTCCAGACTCTCGCCGATCACTTTGTGTACATGCAGCCCGTCCGCACTGGAGCTCATGATCACGTTCTCAATGGTGTCCGACCAGAAAATGTAGCCCGTCTTCTGGTCTACGTCGAGGGCAACGGCATTCGAGATTGGCGGCAGGGGCAGCACCACATCGATCAAATGATCAAAGTCTAAGGAGATCTGACGGATGTCGATACGATGGGCGAACAGAATGTATTTCGTCGGACCCTCGGAGCAAGTGCGACGATCCTCCTTCAGCTGCACCCCAACGGCGCAGGCGCACGTGAAGCTAGTCGGATTCAGGAGACAGAGGTGGGAGCAGCCGCCGTTCTGCTTATCGCACGCATTGTAGACACGCCTGCGGGTACGATGAAATACCCGGATGTCCATTAGGTCACTCGTGTTGGCAATCACCGTGCTGACGCTCTTGCCCGTGAATTTGTCGGCACTCATCGCCGACTTCGTATCCCAGTCCGTCCAGTACACACGACCGCCGCTCACATCCAGCCCGAAGGGATGCCCCAGTCCATCTGTTCAACGAGCCATTAGCAACGACTTCAATTACAATTGAGGATTCATGTTGTACTTACTGATTATGACCTTGCGATTGCTGCCATCGAAGTTCATGTTCTCCAGCGTCTTTGTGCCGCCGTCCACAAAGTAGAGCTTATGTTCATCGTAGTCGATAGCAAGTCCGTTGGGCCAGATGAGTTTCTTAGATGCTATGATCACTCGGCTAGCGCCGTCCATGTTCGCTCGCTCGATCATGGCCTCCTCACCCCAATCGGACCAGAACATAAGGCCCTCTATGGAGATCAAAGACAGACATTTAGTAATACTTAAAAAGACCCGCCTAAATAATGGCGAGAGCTCTAAAGTCATGGATAAGAATGGGTTGGCAGTTTCCCTAGCTTTTGTCTCTGTCTTTAGAGAGCGTACGCTATAATTCTAGGGATCGGACTTACCTATTGGATTTACGACAATGTCGCGCGGCTTGTCCAACTTCTCCCAGACAAGGAGCGTGCGCATTTTGCCATTTGTGGTTGCCACTTCGATGCGATTGGTTGAGGGATCTGTCCAGTACAATTTGTCCGTGATCCAATCGAGGGCCAGGCCAACGGGCGAAACTAAATTCGAGTGGACGACGCGTTGCTGATAGCTGCCATTGAGATGAGCCTTATTGATGGAGCTGCGCTCCACATCGGTCCAATAAATGAAATCGGTCTCACTGCACCAGTCGAGCGCAACGGCATGCTTCAAATTGTCCAGGGGTACAATCATGTCAACATCGTTCGGTCCAGAGGGTTTCGTATTTAGCTGGCGTAGGCGAATATCCTTGCGGCGTGCCACTAGGACGAGCTTATCTGGGGCACTCTTGCAGGTCTTGCCGTCGTCCTTCAGTGACAGTCCAATGGGACAGCCGCAGCGGCGTGAGGTCTTATTGGGGAGGCACAAATGGGAACAGCCGCCGCGCATGCCACGCCTGTCCTTTTGGCAGCGATCCTGATAGTCCGGCTGGCGTGCCGGATGATAGGCGTGAATGTCCATGGGAAAATGAAAATTCTCGTGCACCGAACGAAAACCCTTTCCGGTTATCTTATTGGCAGCTGAGACAGTCTTTGTATTCCAGTCGGTCCAGTACATCGTGTCCTCGAATATGGTCAGTGCAAATGGATGAGGTAGATGGGTGCTGAGCACCTTGATGCGTTCGCTGCCATCCAAATTGGAGCACTCAATGGCGTGTTGCTTGGCATCGGCCCAATAGATTTTGCTATTTGGATAATCGATGGCCAGGCCATTCGGCCAGGTGACGCCCTTCGAGATGATCACCTGTCGCTGCGAGCCATCCATGTGGGCGCGTTCGATTTTCGGATTTGGTCCCCAGTCACTCCAGAAAACCAGAGCTTCGCCCGGATGGATGACAATGGCGCGCGGTTTATCCAGATCACTCGACGCAATCACCGTACGTAAGTTCCCCTGGAAGTTGGATACCTCGACTCGTCGCGTGCCCGAGTCCGTCCAAAACAATAGATCATGTACCCAGTCGACGGCAATGCCGCCCGGCGACTCCAAGCCCCACTTGATAATGCTGCGCACTTGGGTGCCGTTAATGTTAACCATTTTGATCACATCGGTGGAGACATCCGACCAGAACAGCAGACCCTTCCGGTAATGAAAGTCCAAGGCGATTGCATTGTGCAGTCCCTTCACTATTGCCATATATCGATTATTGCTTAGTGTTACGCGCCGGATGTCCCAACGGTTCGCCACGAGCAGCGTCATCGCCCCGCCCAGCGCCTTGCAGGTGCGCAGATCCGGCCGTAATATGTACCCCGTCTCGCAGGAGCAGACGAACGAGCCCAGCGTATTGTGGCACTTCTGCGAGCAGACGGGACTCGTCAGATATTGGCACTCGTCTATGTCCGTGCAGCTGTACACGGGAGAGGAAAACAAATAGAATACGGCCGGATTACACGTGAAATACGAAAGGAGTCGGTGCGAGGAACCTACTTGCGCTTGTTGGCGTGCATTAGGTAGCCCAGGCGGCAGGCGCACTCATCGCGTCCCCGCGCCGTCTTGATGCACAGCTGCTCACACTGCTGGGGCTCGGGGCACTTCTGCTCCACGGGACAGTTCACCTCGTCCTCGCCCAGGGGACAGTCGTTCTGGCCATCACAGACGTGCTTCTGGTGCACACAGATTCTGCAGAAGATTTACAAAGTGAATGTGTGACTAGGTTAGTGATTCATTCACCTGGCACTCACTTCAGATTGGTGATGTTCTTCTTGGCCGGACAAAGGAACTGGCCGGCGTCACACAGCAGATGACAGTCGACCTCATCTTCCGCCGACGAGCAATCCGGATAGCCATCGCAGAGCCAAGTGCGCTAAAAGTGAATAGAAATTACAATTGAGGTATGCGGACGAGGGGAAGGACTTTTGCCTATGATGCCACGATTAGACTCAAGGGGAGTGAGCTTACCAAAATGCAGCGTCCGTTGTGGCAGGTGAATTCGTCGGGGCCACAGGTCAGGGGATGCTCCGGGCTCATGTTGCCGCAGTCGTTCTCGTCCTCGCCGCCATCGCAGTCCTGCTCCTTGTCGCACTTCCAGCGCTTGGGTATGCAGGTGCCGTCGGCGCACTTGAATTCGCTGGAGGTGCACTGGGACGGCTTCTGCTGGCAGTTCTCCTCGTCGCTCCAGTCGCCGCAGTCGTTGTCGCCGTCACAGCGAAAGCGATTGAGTATGCACTGTCCGCTGGGCCCGCCGGCGCCGCCCAGTCCGCTGCGGCACTTGAACTCGCCCTCCGGACAGCTGTTGATGACGGCCGGGCACTTCAGCTCGTCGGAGTTGTCATCACAATCGCGTTCGCCATCACAGCGAAAGGCCAACGAGATGCAGTAGCCATCGTTGCAGGTGAAGTGCTCGTCGGTGCAGCTACTGCGATTGCAGTGCGCCTCGTCCGAGTAATCCTTGCAATCGTTCTCGCCATCGCAGACCCATTGACGCGGAATGCAGAAGCCGTTCTGGCACTCAAACTGATCCTCGGTGCAGTTGGTGCGGGCGCCGCAGTGCGTCTCATCGGAGTAGTCGCCGCAGTCGTCGTCGCCATCGCACAGCCAGTCCTTGTTGATGCAGCGATAGGTCTTGGGGCACATCACATGCAGGCCGCTCTGCTCGCACTCCTTCTGCAGCTTGGACATCATGTCGTCCATGTTGTCGCAGTCGTACTCGTCGCTGCCATCCGTGCACTGCACCTCGCGATTGCAGCGGCCGTGCGACTCGATGCACTGGCAATTGCTGCACTGCCACTGCGACTCCTCGCACGTGTTGTGGCAGCCAGTGGACGGCGGTGCGCTGTAGCCATCGCCGGGCTGGCCCAGCTGCCGCGGATCGTCGTGGACCACCACCCGATTGGCGAATGGCCGGAATCCCTTCTGCTTGTTGCTGGCCCCGGCCACGAAACCGTCGCGACCTCGCGTGCTCGTCTGTCGGTCCGATTCACGCACCACATACATGTCGCCACGCCCGCCCTGTGCGCCCACATTACGAAATTTCGGAGTGTCACCCGAGCTGGTAGTGCCAGTGCCGGACGTAACGATCGGCTTGTGAGGTATCATTGGCTCCTTAACATAAACATGACCATACATCTTACCGCCATCTCCATTGTCCTCTAGATTATCATCAATGTGGTCATGGTCATGATCATGATCCAGCTCGTGATCATGGTCGGGATCGTGGTCGTGATCGTGATCGTGATCGTGCTCATGATCGTGCTCACCCTCGTGATCGTGCTCCTGATGTGGCGGATAGTCGGATGCGGTTAGATAATCATGATCGTCCTCCTTATGCAACAGATCGTCGGCCAAGTCGACCTCGTGCACACCGTGTCCGTTGGCATTGGCCGAGCGTGGATGCGCCGGCTGATACCACTGCTGCGGACGTTCCTGCGTATTTTCGGCACCGCCACCACCGCCGCGATTGTTTATTCCACGGTCATACTGTTCACCAAGTCCATGAGTTAAGTTGCCGATTCCCAAACCTGGAATTCGAGTTTTATATTTGCTGGTATAATATTTGCTACAATAATATTTGCTAGCTCTAAGCATGTCTGATGTCGTTTACTGAAAAGTGTGCTACAGTTTTTCCTTTCTGTCTGCTATCAATGGCACTACACTACACTACATACAACAGTGTTTTTTATAGAGAACTGCCGTCAAGTAGTTGGAATTCCTTAACTGTAGTAGTTGAAATCACTTATATGTCGATAAATGAGCGGCTCTTCAGCGGAACTCGTTATTTATAAGAAAGTAAATAACTGGGACATAGATCATTGGACTGGGGAAATCTTTCTCAAAGAATTGTTGAATTTCCACTTAATTATATTTCCTATCTTTATTTAAGAATCTGTTTTAGCAGCATTTACTATTCTACTCCTTTCTGTTTTAATTCAATTTTCAATTTGATTTTAGTAATTTTATTATTATTATTATTATTATTATTATTATTATTATTATTATTATTATTAT